TGGATGGTCTGGTTTAATGGCTTGCCAATAGATTTATTTAGGACCGATCTGGTGGCTCCCGTGTCAACTAGCATTGGGACGATCTGTCCTCCCACCCATATTTTAACAATTGTCCTCTTCATTCTTCCCATTCTATGTCAGCTAAACCGATCATGTTTTCTTCTCTTTCTTCTGTCTGACTGGGATAGGCTGCACGCCCTCTTCCCCTGAAGCTTCCCTTGCAACTTCTTTGGAAAGTCCCTCTAAATCCTCTTCCTCGTTCTCTTCCATGCTGGCAAGATTGTCCCCTAGGTTGGCCAGTCCACTGGGGGCACTCCCTTTGCCAGTGTCCTTTCTGTCTACAGATGGCACATTGGTTGGGTCCAATACGCATCCCCCCCAAGGCCACTGCTAACATTTCAACCTTCTTTTTTGCTTTCTGATCTGACTTACATTCTTCCTTTTCATGGTTACAGAACACTTTTTGAGCTATCTCCATAATCTCTGCTACATTTTTCCCTAATAACCCTTCTCTGTGTTGTAACTTTTTCTTTATGTCTGGGGCACTTTGGGTGATAAATCTTTCAATTAGGAGTGGGCGATTTTGTGCCACCTCCATATCAAGACCTGTGTTTACTTTATAAGCTTCTATCAGTCGGCTGAGAAAAGCAATTGGTGATTCATTTTTATCTTGCCAAATACTAGTTACTGCAGCATAATTAACTGGACGAATTGTGCCTTCTCTCAGGGCTTCTAAACACAAAAGCCAATAATTCTGCAACAAAGTTTGATGTTGTGCATCGCTAGCATTCCAGTCTGGTCTTTCTTCTACTGCTTTGGCATCTTTGCTTGCCTGATAATTCGCTCCCTCATCGGGCAAGTATTTTTAATTTCCCTAACCTATATTTTTCTCTCCCCTCCATAGCCAGTAAAGTAGAAATAAGTTGTTGCATATCATTCCACGCGCGGTTATGTGTCTGAATAATGGTGGAGAATAGGTCTATTATTTCTTGAGGTTTTTCTGAAAATTGGCCGATGCCAATTGAGTAGATTAGTGGTTGTAAAGGGAACACAGTGGAGCATCGGAATATTGGTGTTGTTTGGTCCAGGGACCAAAACTTCTCTTAGAGGGGTTATCATTTCTTCTGTTTTGACCCTCGTTTTACTTCTAGTTTGACTAGAAACTGATGTTTTGCTGTCATTGCTATCCAAGTCCTGATCTTTCTTCTGAATGGTTTTATCTTTTTTTATCTTTCTTTTCACACCGGCTTCCGGTTGAAGGTGGACTTCATTTCTTTCAACCAAAGGGGGTGAAATTTGCTGATATATCCCCCCTTCTTCTCTTCTAGGAACATAAGGTGGGGGCCTCGCAACTTCCTCCCTTTCTTCCTGGCTCAAAATCTTAGCTTTTGTCTGAGGTTTGGCTTTTTGGTTTGCCAAATATATTTTAGCACATTCTATCTGACACTTTGCTAACCATTGAGGCTTTTCTTCAATATTGATATGCCGTTGGTCTATATAGGGATATTGGTCCCAATGACCACTTCCAGTCACAATTTGATGAACCCGTGCCATGAGTTCAGGATTCGCCGATCCCTCCTTGGGCCACCCTACGCCAAAGGTGGTCCATTCAGATTCACAGAATCTTTTTAACATGGCTGGATTTGGTCGTGGATCCCCATAATCCCTAGAAAAACCCTTTTTGAAATTTCCTAACATACACTGAAGCAGCGTCTGACCAACGCCCTTCTTAGTCTGGTTCCCTTCCATTTCTCCCTAACACACTACCACTGACCTGGAGTGCCGGACGTTCCAACGGTCACTCTTCAGGAAATGCGATGGTTTAACCACTCACACAGTCCTACCTTTTGAAGACTTAAGGACGCCGCCTTGTCTTCTAGGGGGTGATCAATTTGATCACCCCCTCTTCCGATCCAAATGGGATCAGGCATCCCCTTTTACAATACTTGCCTGCAGGCGTTCCAGACCCTTCCGTGGATTAAAGACCCATCTGCTACCCTCAGTGGATCCTTGACTGGAGTGCTTCAATGGCGGGTGAGTTCCCCTCCCTTCCCATCGAGGTCTCCCCATAGACAAAGGCCACGGAGCTGGCTTGGAGTCGTCTTTAAGAGAGGGGCTACCCACCAGGGCAGTCCGTTTGGAAGGTCAACGGCCTCTTTCTAAAAGTCCCGGCGGAGTCGCCATAAATCTTGTGGAAAAACGCAAGGACTTTAATTCCAGAGGGTTTAGCAGAGAGATTTATTGCACAGGTTCAGAAGCAATAGAGACAAGCAATTCTGAACCCCGAGGGCGGGTTCAGACTTCAGTTTTATACATTCCTTTTCTCAGGAACAAAGAACTACACATTCTAATACACATTGTGATACATTAGGTCCGTTTCTCACAAGTATACAACGGAGAGTTTGTTACATACATTGTATCCAAGTGCAATGCGCATTAGGTTAGTCACATATTGCTAACACAGCATTATTCTAGTAATTATGCAGACACGTCATTATTTTAGTGATTTTTTTATTATTCCACATTACCTTCAGTGACTAATATATATTTTTACAAACATATTCACACATATATACCTAGGGCAGTGGTGGGATTCAGCCGATTTACACCACTTCGGCAGAACCAGTAGCTAATTTTTTGTTGCCCAGGCCCAGAATGGACTTCCGGAAGCGGCATCCACACAGAGAATTGGTTGTTCACATATATGAATCCCACCACTGACCTAGGGGATATTAAAAATTAGGCCACGTTGACTATTCTATAAATTACGCTAAATATAGTGTACTTTTTTTCTAATAACTTTCTTACTTCTTTGACACATGTTTCAGCTGAAACATTTTCTCTTTAAAAATATCAATTACTATTTTATATTAATTGAGGGGATGCTCACCACTGGAGGTAGGTGATAGGATAAGAAGACCTCGTCCCTATGCCATCTCTCTTAATTTTGAGTTTTGTATCATTTTAAAAATTTTAATCTATGTAGTTTTAATATTTTAACAAATTTTAATTATTTTCCTATTTGTTTTGTAATTTGTAAGCCACCTAGAGGAACCTTATAGGAGAGATGGGTGTTAAGAAATAATAAACATATTGTGATTGGCTTATGAGGCCAGGCTTCTGGTTCACCCTGTATATCTTAGCTATGAAAACTAGCTGCATTACTGGGGCCGGTCACTCTCTCTCCACCCACCCTACCCTAGAGGGTTGTTGTTATGGGGAATAAAGGAGAAGGATAGTGCATTGAATATGTTCGCTGCCTTGAGTTATGTGTAAAAACAATAAAGGAAGGATACAAATAAATAAATAATCAATAGGTTCCAGTTGTTTGGACTGTCTTTTTCTTTTTTTGCATAGGTTCTGAAATAGGCTTTGTGTAATGAAATACACAAATTTAGAGAAGATGTTCCAGGCATAGATATGACACCACCACTGACATCATTTTCCACAGCAGAATGGCTCCTTGCCACCCTTCCCCAAATATTAAATGTGGCCCCTGGCCATCTAAAGATTGCCCATTTTTGCTCTAGGAAAAGGTGTCAACAGCATTAGTTTTGAGTTTGTTAGCTATCCATTTTTATCTTTCTGAGGATAGGATCAGCTGAAGACATAGCATTGAAAGTAAGCATCACAAATTTCACTTCAGTTAGTTTACAGAAAAGCAGAAAGGTTGGCAGCAAAGTCTGCAAAAAATTAGTGGGTTAAAATCTTGCTTTCCCAGACAGGCCAAATTGCACATTTCAAAAGCGGAGGATGGCTGCTGGGTTTGCAAACTACTATAGCTAAGGCTACAGTGAGATTGAGTAGCATATAGTTCAGCAAACCGTGGGAGTCTCACTATTGTTTATTAATTAAATCATAATATGGTGGTCTGAATACAGCAGTTGGATTTTGTTGACCTGGGTTGAAAGTTTAAGCTTATCATATACAATCAATCACAATGTTGTGGATAAATTCATAAGTCTCCTTGTAATCCAGGATTATAAGAGCTGTAGTCCAATATTTTCTAGTGAATGACTGAGAAAAACTGACTTAAATAAGCCCCTTCATTCATTTCCTTGTTCTTTTCTTACAATGAGTTGTTAGGAGAATGGAGACCCATATGCTTTGCTTATCACCCAAATCCTCATCAAAACCTTAACATTAACCAAACAAAGAGAAAGATCTCCAGAACAGAGAAAGGCCGCTGATTCGATGAGGAAGATAAAGGGAGAGAAGAAATTCAGAGCAACTAAAAGCCTCTGAAGAAGTATGTGAGCAACTGCATCCAACATTAATGTTGATTAAAGGCAGATGCCTATGTTTCATTATCCCACAATGACTTTTTATGGGCTGTCCAGCAGGTGGTTTCTTAGGCAGGGTTGTATATCATGCCAATTTTCTGGGCAGGCTTGATCACCAGAACTCATTTTAAATGAACCCCAGCACTAAAGTGTCATAACTTCCTCTTCCCAGGTCAATGAACTTTCATTCTCTTATTTTCTGCAAGGCCTTGCTCCTCCCTGCAGCCATTATCCAATGGGCTTGGGTCCTCTTTTCTCCAACCCAGGGTCATTCAGGAGGAGATGAATCAAAGAGGGAAGTTCTGCTGCTGGATGGAGAGAAAGGAAGCAGCAAGCAAGATGTCTTACTTCAGGTCTCCCATCCATGTGCCCAGAAGTTGCCCCTATCAGGAGAAATGCCTAAAGCCAGGATTTGACAAGGAGGAATGGGGAGAATGTAAGATAAGAGATAGAAAACAAAAATCACAGATGTGCACATACACATCCTTTATGTAGGAAATGGCCTTGCCATGTAAGAGAAGGAGAGATGGCTGGAAAGCTTTAAGGGAAGGGCAATAGGATGTTTACCTGTGTGTCACCATGGTAACTTTTTTACTAGGGTGCATGATGCAATGGATGGTGAAAGTAGGCGGGGTCTGGGGCAGGTTGTTACCAGAATTACAGAGCAAGCATCTTCTCAAGGGAAAACAAGGAAGTTTCTTGAAGAGGGATGAAGGAACTTCAGTATATTATATCTTCATTGTATCATTATATATTATATCTTTATTATATCTTGAACTTAACTGATAGGTGAATGGAGACTTGCTCCCACCAACTCTTTCCTATTTACCCTCCCACACACACACTTGGGCTAAAAAGGTCATAGAGATAATAATGACATCACAAAATTTCCCCCAGCCAAAGAAGAATAGGCATAAATCAAGCAGCTCTGGGCAGTAAGCAGGGAAGAACATACATTACAAGCTCCATAAAGACAATCAGTGAGTCCTAGATTTTGGGATGAGAGTTAGGCTAGCTGAAGTCATCTTAAATGACTACAAAAAATGACCATTTAAGAGCTTTGTCTATAAGATTCAGTAATGGCAAGGAAGTCTTAAAGGAAAAAGATGAGCAAAAGTTAAACTTTTCTCCTATGCTCCTAATCTATCAAAAGATTTTTTTAAATTTTCTGTTCTGCTCTTTTGATCTGGGCACCCAAAAGTTATTCTGAGGAAGCCCTTCTTTATCTAATAGTCCTTCATACACATGCATGAACACCATTTAATTATTAAGCATCATATATGAATAATATCTGATTATGAGAACTAATTCAGTTTAATAAATTTGAATCTGCAGTGATGCAAGCTCGTTAAAAATAATATTGGATCATTCACTTCTATGGCTGCCTTTCCTGTCAATAAATAGTAATTATGCACAGGGGACTCATTCATACATAGGATATCATCCCTATCAGCCATCTAATTGGGAAATGCCTGATTATTGCAGTTACTTTTATGTTTAAACAGGGAAACTTTGCAATTGATATCCCTTATCTCTGGAAAATCCTGCCAAGAAATAAAATTTGACTATCAATAGGGCATTGAATCCCATTTATTATCAGCTGCTTTTAATTAACATGCTGTGCTGAATTTATAAAATATTGAATATGCTGCTGTAGTTCTAAATTAAGAATATTAGAGTTTTGGGACAACCAAAATCTGTTGAATCCTATGTTTTGCTCTCCTGATGATCAGCTACACATTTTAGGAAAGCACAGATTTGGGATGTGAAATACTAGGCCTAAAATAAACCAATAGTTATTTAATTGGATAAATTAATTATTTCAGTTACCTGTTTAAAGTACTACCAAATAAGCCTGTGTGCCAGCTTTCGCCTTCCTAGTATTCTACAGAAATGCTGATATCTACAACTTCTATCAACTCAAACCAGTATTCTCTTTGGGAATGATGGATATTATACTCTGAGACCTCCTCAAGGTCAAAGTATTACATCATGATCATTATGTTCCATCTTCATGTATCATTTGTTTATTGAATTGGTGCCCAGCACTACCAAGAAATGTCATATTATGCAAAATACATGTCTATGTTTTATCACATTGACAGCGATAAAATGCATTTTACTTTATTATTTATATAACACCCATCTTACTACCCAGATTTAAAGCCTCATTAAACATGTTTTAAAACACAATTGAAGAGTTTGGCCAGGATAAAAATATTTTTGTCTATTCCAGAAAAAAGCTAACCTTATTTCTTTTGGCAATGAGCTCCAAAACCTGGAGAGCAACTCTTATTAAGGCTGTTTTGTCCATTCTTTCCAAACATCTTGAGAGTAGTAAGATCAACATAAGAGTTTGTTTTTGGAAAATTTTATATTGGCGTAGGCTCAAAAGAAAAAACACTGCCTTTCAAAACGTGTCACCTGTAATAACAGAGCACTGTATAAGTCTTAGTCAAGATTTTGAATTTTGCTTAAAAACAGGCACACAATATGAGCTATTTTAACAAGGGAGTTTTATGCAGCTTTTAATAGTTTCCTGCAACAGTCAAGCTGCAGCTTTCTGGACAGCTATTTCCATACATTCAGGTAGATTTTCTGGTTAGCTGTGGAATTTGAACTTGCAGTTATACAGCCATCTAATCACCCGGCTCTGCAGGGGGCCATTGACTCACAGAAAGATGTGCTCTCACATTTTTCTATGCTCAATGCTGGTTTAGGATGAGGAAAGATGCTACGGTCCCGGATGCCCAGTGTCTCAGCAGGCGGTGACTACAGCAAAGGACTTTTCGGCAGAGAAATGGGACCTTTGCAAGATCAACTTTGCCATGGAGAATATGACTTACTCAAGTGTGCTCCCATGTTGGAAAGTGACTTTGTGCAAGTATGTCTAAAGATGATTTTTGATTGTCAGAGATTTGTTAGTTTTATCACTTGCCTCCAACAGTGCTATAGACAACATGTTTTTTAAAATTAACTTTCTGATAGCAGAACAAAGCAACTTATAGCAAATTCTATATACTCCAACAATGGAACCAGAAGCACCTTCTGAGTGGATGAGGATCATTCCCCAGATGGGAACTTCCAAGCCATCCATTTACCCTCCCCCTTCCCCTCCCTTCCCCTTCATTTGTTCAGGTGCCTTTCCATTGATTTCTGCAGTGGAAAAATCTGAACTACATATCCTATCATATTATTTAAAAAAATGTATAAATTGAGAGTGTTTTCTCTGGGATACTCAGCGGAACTGAATCATAAAAACAAGCCCCAAAGGGAAACCAACTTCTTTTGTTACTGGTCTTTTTATTACATATAAATATTTGTAAAAATGTAAGGGAAAAAAGGAATGACAATTTTGCCATGTAAGAAATACAGAGATTAAATTGATGGTATTCCTGGGATTTATCAGAGTTGACTGTGCACATATATTTGTGTTTTATTGGAAGGAAAAAATTGGGGGAATCTAAACAAGCAAAGGGAGAAAACCCTCCTAAAAACAGATTATTTTGTACTTTTACTCCTTTTGGTTCTAGATTCTTCCTTTAAAGACAACTTTATCATGTAAAACACTGACTAAATGTTTCTTCTTGAAAAGAAGATTTTAGGTTGGCATTTTACATTATAGAATTCTTCTTGATAAAGGAACTATCCAAAATGTGTAGGAAATAATTCAAGACATCCAGTACAATAGCTGATCTGTATTTTATCAGTTCGATCATGGCATATAGAAATTTAGCAGATGAAAGGTTGTCGTTTTTGGCACCAGAATATGGAGATAACAGCTGGAGTTAATTTGTTTCCTGCTTGCCAGGCTGCAGTTCAAAAGCAAGGAAGAGCAGCAGGAAAATAGAGGGTGATTGTAGGATCACCATTTTCCCCTCAAAAATGAGAATGAGAAATTTTAAGCCTTCATGGAGTCTTAAATGGATGTAATGCTGTTTATCAGCCAAGAGCAACATTCACAGCTGAAAATGTGCTGATTCTTCTTGATCCCGGAATGTTTTCTCCAACCAGTTATGTTGGTAGCATTTAGGAAGACACCTGTCCTTTCTTAAATGGCGCCCCAACCCTTATGCCACAGCTTCTGCAGAGGTGGAAGTTGAACAGATCACACATATGCCTCTTTCCCCTCACTGCCTCACATTCCAGAAAAAAGCTGCATTTGTAGAATTTCTGCCCTCATGGGAGCATGAGAAAATAATGTAGTCTGCCAAATGGCAGTAAAAACAAATAAATGGTGAAGGCAGCTTTTCCACCTCTAACAGCAGCCTTGATTTTAATAAATTAGCAAGTGAAGATGTCATATTTGGCTATAATAAGTGTTACTATCTGATAATAAGCCAGAGAGCAAGTGGCTAATAAAGGATAACTAAGAGGGTCTGTTTAAAAAACTGTAATCTTAATCACAAAGAGACAAAGTCCTTCCTGCTCGTTCTAAGGTTAATTTGAAGAGATAAGATCAAGTTAGATAAGGTGATAGGTAACTAGGTAACCAAATATTTAAAATTTGGTTTGGTTTGTTTAATAGAAAACAGAGTGAAACAGGGTGATGGACTAGAAGAAGGTAAACTCTACTACTGTCACAGAGGCTGCCTAAATGCTTGCTCTTCAAATATATTGGAACTAGAACTCCCATCCTCCACATCAGCATAGCTACTGGAGGCTGAAAGTGATTGGAGTTGAGTTCCCTGTGGAAGGGGATCACTAGAGACTTACGTCCTTGCACCCCATCTCTAAAGGAAGCCTGGATGGATGCATAGAGCTTAAATCTCTGAATAGGAAGATCCATTGTTCTTATTTGATTCACCTAGAACCAAGAAATATTTACAAAATTAAAAACTTCAGCAATGTGAAACCCTATTGTGGGTTATTTCCCTGAAATTCTGGAGGAAAGTGTCACCTGCTTACTTGCCTTCGCAAAAGAGCTGTCTCTGCATTAATCCCATCTTATTCTCTGCAGATTAGCAAGCGAGGAGAAATGATTGACGTGCACAATCAAATTCAGATGGTGACTGTTGCAGTAGCCTGCACAAGCCCCAGTCTGCTGGTCCCCAATGTATTACTTCTGGCTCGTCCCCTGTTTCCCCCTGAAGAGCCTCCTCCAAAACTTAAATCCTTCTTTCATCCCCGCCACCCAGCCAAGAGATATGAGCTTACCAGGTGGGTTTAGTTTTTCTCTCTAAGACAGAGGCTGAGATGTAGTCTCATCTTTCTCAGATCTTCTACTATAGATTGGCACCTCTTTTTATTGACTGAGATTACCTCTTTTCTGTAGAGGTAAGAATCAAATAGACCAAGACAGTGTGATTATCACTGAAAATGTCTTAATAAACTTAATGCCAATTGTACATTTTGAACATTTTTCTATCTCATTTACTAAGGGATGGTTTAATTATTTCATTGCATTAACTCACACTGGGATTGCAGAATATACTATTAAAGATTGTTGAATTGCTTTAATTTAATGATATGTACTGAACAAAACAGCATTTTCAAATAGTCATATTATTTTTTAATAGCTATAAATATGAAAAAGTTGTCTATATTTCATGTCCCTTGTCTTCCTCCCCATCTTGCAGGCTTTTTCCTCTGTGTCTGGTTAGGATCTCAATCCACAATCCAGAAAAGCAGCAGCTACGATTCAAGCTGGCAAGTGGCCGTACCTTTTACCTGCAGCTCTGTCCCCAACCTGGCACCCAAGAAGATATCTTTAGTCTGTGGGTCAAGGTGGTCAATATGCTGCGATCACCTTTAGACTTGAGCATAAAATCTCACCGCAAGACCAAACATGAAACCTCCAGGTCAAAGGTGTACTGTCTTTCTACTGCTTTCATTTGTTTTTATAATCATTAATGGAATAGCATGGCAGGGAATAATGTATGCAAAGGGGATCATTCCAAGACATTTGTAGTCCAAGAGTTGACAGAGGGAAGGGAAGGAACACAGAAAGCTGTTTTAGGAAAAGTCTTTCCCAAGCCAACTTGAGGTTATTGTATGGTTGGAAAGCATTCCAAAAACAATGCACAAGATTTGTTCAGATTTTTCTGTTTCTTATCTGTTTTAGAGTCCAGCAGGATCCTTAAATGTAGAAGAAAAAGAGAGTGTACAGAGTGTATACTTAGCATCTGGAACACCCAGCCTTATCCATGCAGAGCTTGCAAGCAGACAAAGCCTGATTATGTCCATGGAGAGCCTGCCAAGCTCCCAAGGGCCCAGCTGGTCTCCCATTGCTAGTGAAGAAAAGGTATTTGACTTCCCACTAGTAGAGGGAAGGAGGTCACCACCACAGCCTTTTGAAAGACCTCCTAGTCGCAAGAGCCGAGGCAGTAGGAAGGAGAGGGCTGCAAGCACTACTTCTTCAAACAGGTACCCAGTTTATTTAGGACCATATTTCTTTACTACCATAATCAAAAAAAGACTTGAATTTCAGGTGGGGAGGTCAAGAGAACTTACTGCTTTTTAGTAGGGTTTTAATTCTAACCCACCAAACAATCCATAGCTGAAGTAATAGGTGCATGGGGACAGCTACTAAAGCAAGGGAGGTGTCCTGATTACTGGTGAAACCTTTCAGATGCTGCTCAGTGATAGCTCCCAGCAATTCAGCCAGCATAGCCAAGACTGGGAGATATTTCATGTTGACATTCAGCAGCATCTAGGTTTGTAATTTCCCCCTCTTGATGTTCCTGATAACCAGAACTGGAAAGATTACACTCCACATTTCTGTTGAGCTATGAAGTCCTCAGTTGATATGATATCCTCTATAGAAGTGATCATCCACAGCTTCCATCATTTCTAGAAAATAATTTGGGGTGCAACCTAACTTACTGAAGGACACCTTTTGGGAAAGCTTACTATAAAAAAAGGGAATACACTATATTGGAGTCATAAATCCGATTTATTTGCAGTTTGAACCAAGTACAGCCTCTGATCAGATATAAAAAGTAGATTTTGTTCTGTTTCCATCAGCCTGATAAAAGTTGTAAATTCTGGCACAGATGATGCAAGACAGACTTGAGGATGATTGGGTGGGACCTTCTAACACAACTTTTTTGTGTTTCTGCTTTCTATACAAAGCACACTGTGTTGAGTAGCTATTTGGGGATCTGAATATTATAATCCAGGACACAACTGGAGGGCAAAGATTGGGAAAGTCTGCAGCAAAGGGGGCTTGGGTCTTCAGCCCAAAACAAGCTTTTCAATGTGATTAAAGGAGAAAAGGTTGAGGGATTTCCCATGAAGAGTTTGAGGAGACTTAAATAGTTTGTTGGGGACTTTCTTTCAGGAAAACCAGTAAGAGTGTCAGAGCAAACAGAAAGAAATCACCCCGAAAAGGTAAGACAGGCTGTCATCCAAATGTCACTGCCCCTATGGCTGCTTATTCTTGAGGTGTACTCCAGCGGATAGCCAGCATCAGGCTTGCATCATTCATCCCCCTAACAGTTGGCATTCCCGGGGGTGTCTGATTTCCATGTTATTCCCCTACCATGTGAACCTGGGAAAGTTAATTTTTTAAAATAATCCAACCGCCAGCCAACTGCCCTTGCCCTCAACACCACATGGGAAGTTCAAGAAGCATTTTATTTTGCTCCCCTTGTTACTCTGCAGACTCAGCCCGGAAATCCAGCAAGATCCTCTCCCTTATCAGTTTCTGTTCCTGGGGGAACTGGCGGAGAAGCAAATCCCGAGGCAAAGGAAAGAAACGCTGATCAAAAGGCAGACCTTCAATGGAAGAGCCTCTTCTCCATCTCATTGTAATAAAAAAAACTGGTTTTCAAATGAGCTTTTAAAGAGTGATTTTAAACATTAGTCACTAAGAAGTTTATGAAAAATAATCTGATTCCTGAAAAACCTTCGTGTTTTATTTTGTGTTTCACTTTTTGTTAGTTAATCATCCTCCTTTCTGCATCCTCTTAATTTCTGCATTTTCTTTCCATTTGTCTAAACCAGTGGTTTTCAACCTTTCTAATGCCGCGACCCCATAATACAGTTCCCCATGTTGTGATGACCCCCAACCACTTATACATCACCGGGTGCCAGGGGCGTGGCCAAAGAAAAGGGGGAAAAAATGGCAGACAGCCTTGTTTGGTGACCCCCATGAAATGGTCGTTCGACCCCAAATGGGGTCCCGACCCACAGGTTGAGAACCACTGGTCTAAACACATATAAATTGGGAGTAGATACACACAAACACAAATGCACACAGTATTCTTCCCCCATAACTCACATGCAAATCATAATATAATCTTTAAAAGTTGTGTGGGAGAAGAGTTCTGAAACTATATCTTAAACAACATTTGCACCACTTTTTTTTGCACCCCAAGTATAGTGTTTGCTCTCAGCTGTAATGGCATTTGTGTTTCCTTTTTATCTCAATCACAGACCTGTATCTTTTCCATGTTACTTGTGATGTCACACACATGTCCCAAAGAAGAGGATCTTGTGAGGCAATAGTATGAATCTGCTGCACAATTAGTAAGAGTTTTTCCAATCAGCTAGTGATGTGAAGAAGGAAGGCACCATAGCCAGAAGACTAAACTACCATCCTTTTGCTGTCATGAGCTATATTGATAATCAGAATAACACCATTAGACAATGGGTCAGAATCAGGATCAGTACTGGAGACAACAAATTTTCTGCAAACATACTTTTCTGTACTGCATTAAATCGAAGTCATGTTTTACAAATCACAAGTCTGGATTCATACAGCACCCTGTTAAAACCAAACAAATATTATGGTTTTGTATAATGAACTCAGTCATGTAATGCCAATCCACAACAGAGCATGCTACTCTCCAAATGGTACTTCTGCAAATTTCCTCCTTATTGCTTCTTTCATTTAACCAATTTCAGATTAAGCTAGGCAATAATGCTGGGTTCCCCCCCCCTTAATTAAATGCCACTGTGGCTTATAACAATTACTCTCTGTATAGAGAAGCTTCCATGTTAAGCCAAAAAGAAATCAGATTCTATTATATATTAGCTTTAAATGCTCACGTTTCCATTGACACAAGAGAGACATATTCTAGCTATAGGTAGCTAAAAGCCATCAAGAAAGCATTTTTATCTATTACTGTCAATACATGTACTCTACAATAATGAAAATATCCCTGTTCTTTAGCAAGAAACTAGGTTTAAAGCAAGAAACTAGGTTTAAATCCCTTTATGGATTACTGCCTTGTCGTGGCAAAGGGGCTTGCGTAACTCAATGAAGCTATAAGCTATGCCGTGCAGGGCCACCCAAGACGGACAGGTTATAGCAGAGAGTTCTGACAAAATGTGATCCACTGGAGAAGGAAATGGCAACCCACTCCACTATCTTTGCCATGAAAACCCCATGGGCAGTACTAAAAGGCAAAAAGATATGACGCTGGAAGATGAGCCCCTAGGTCGGAAGGTGTCCAATATGCTACTGGGGAAGAGCAGCGGGCTAGTACTAGTAGCGCCAGAAAGAATGAAGCGACTGGGCCAAAGCCGAAAGGACGCTCAGCTGTGGATAGATCTGGTGGTGAAAGGAAAGTCCGATGCTGTAAAGATTTTTTCTCCATAGGAACCTGGAATGTAAGATCCATGAATCAAGGCAAGCTAGACGTAGTCAAAAAAGAGATGACAAGACTGAACATCGACATCTTAGGAATCAGCGAACTAAAATGGACAGGAATGGGTAAATTTAACTCAGATGACCATCAGGTATACTACTTTGGGCAAGAATCCCTCAGAAGAAATGGAGTAGCCTTCATAGTCAATAAAAGAATAGGAAAAGCAATACTGGGATACAATCCCCCAAATGACAGAATGATCTCAATTCGAATCCAAGGCAAACCTTTCAATATCACAATAGTCCAAATCTATGCCCCTACCACTCGTGCTGAAGAGGATGAAATTGACCGGTTCTGTGAAGCCCTACAGCACCTTATAGAATTAACACCAAAAAATGATGTCCTTATCATCATGGGGGATTGGAATGCTAAGGTAGGAAGCCAAAAGATAACCGGAATAACAGGCAAGTTTGGCCTTGGAGTACAAAATGAAGCAGGGCACAGGATAATAGAATTTTGTCAAGAGAATACGATGGTCATAACAAACACTCTTTTCCAACAACCCAAGAGACGGCTCTACACATGGACATCACCAGACGGTCAACACAGAAATAAGATTGACTATGTACTCTGCAGCCAAAGATGGAGAAGCTCTATACAGTCAGTAAAAACAAGACCAGGAGCTGACTGTGGCTCAGATCATGAGCTTCTCTTTGCAAAATTTAGGCTTAAATTGAAAAAAGTAGGGAAAAGCACTAGGCCACTCAGGTATGAACTAAATCATATTCCTGATGAATATACAGTAGAGGTGACAAATAGATTTAAGGAACTGGATCTGATAGACAGAGTGCCTGAAGAACTATGGATGGAAGTTCGCAACATTGTAAAAGAGGTAGCAACTAAAACCATCCCAAAGAAAAGGAAATGCAAGAAAGCAAAATGGCTGTCTGAGGAAGCTTTGCAAATAGCTGAGGAAAGAAGGGAAGCGAAAGGCAAAGGAGAAAGAGAAAGATACACCCAATTGAATGCAGAATTCCAGAGAGTAGCTAGAAGAGATAAGAATGCCTTCTTAAATGAACAGTGCAAAGAAATAGAAAAAAACAACAGAATAGGGAGGACCAGAGATCTCTTCAAGAAAATTGGAGATATAAAGGGAACGTTTCATGCAAAGATGGGCATGATAAAGGACCAAAATGGCAGAGACATAACAGAGGCAGAAGAGATTAAGAAGAGATGGCAAAACTACACAGAAGAACTATACAAGAATGAGCTTAACATCCCAGATAACCACAATGAGATGGTCACTGACCTCGAACCAGACATCCTAGAATGTGAAGTGAAATGGGCCTTAGAAAATCTGAGCAACAACAAAGCTAGTGGAGGTGATAGTATTCCAGCTGAGCTATTCAAAATCTTAAAAGACGATGCAGTAAAAGTGCTACACCCAATTTGCCAGCAAATTTGGAAAACTCAACAGTGGCCACAGGATTGGAAAAGGTCAGTTTACATTCCAATTCCAAAGAAAGGCAATGCCAAAGAATATTCAAACTATCGCACCATTGCACTCATTTCACATGCTAGTAAAGTTATGCTTAAAATCCTACAAGCTAGACTCCAGCAGTATGTGGATCGAGAACCACCAGAAGTACAGGCAGGATTTCGAAGAGGCAGAGGAACTAGAGATCAAATTGCCAATATACGCTGGATCATAGAGAAAGCTAGGGAGTTCCAGAAAAACATCTACTTCTGCTTCATTGACTATGCAAAAGCCGTTGATTGTGTGGATCACAACAAATTGTGGCAAGTTCTTAAAGAGATGGGAGTACCAGACCATCTCATTTGTCTCTTGAGAAACCTATATGCGGGTCAAGAAGCAACAGTGAGAACCGAACACGGACCCACTGATTGGTTCAAAATTGGAAAAGGAGTCCGGCAAGGCTGTATACTGTCGCCCTGCCTATTTAACTTATATGCAGAGCACATCATGAGAAAGGCAGGACTAGATGAATCAAAAGTTGGAATTAAGATTGCCGGGAGAAATATCAGCAACCTAAGATATGCAGATGATACCACTCTAATGGCAGAAAGTGAAGAGGAATAAAGAGCCTCTTGATGCTGGTGAAGAAGGAGAGTGCAAAAGTTGGCTTGAAACTCAACATTAAGAAAACCAAAATCATGGCATCCGGCCCTCTCAATTCCTGGCAAATAGATGGGGAAGAAATGGAGGTAGTGACAGATTTTATTTTTCTGGGCTCCAAGATCACCTCAGATGGGGACTGCAGCCAAGAAATTAAAAGACGCTTGCTCATGGGGAGGAAAGCTATGGCAAATCTAGACAGCATTCTAAAAAGCAGAGACATCACCCTGCCAACAAAGTGCGTATAGTCCAGGCCATGGTTTTCCCAGTTGCAATGTATGGCTGTGAAAGTTGGACCATAAGAAAGGCTGAGCGCCAAAGAATTGAGGCCTTTGAACTATGGTGCTGGAGAAGACTCCTGCGAGTCCCTTGGACTGCAAGGCGTTCAAACCGGTCAGTCCTAGAAGAGATCAACCCCGACGGCTCTTTAGAAGGCCAGATCCTGAAGTTGAAACTTAAGTACTTTGACCACCTAATGAGAAGGAAGGACTCACTGGAGAAGGGCCTAATGCTGGGAAAGATTGAGGGCAATAGAAGAAGGGGATGACAGAGAATGAGATGGCTGGATGGAGTCACGAAGCAGTAGGTGTGAATTTAAATGGACTCCAGAAGATGGTAGAGGACAGGAAGACCTGGAGGAACGTTGTCCATGGGGTCGTGATGGGTCGGACACGACTTCGCAATTAACAACAACAACAACAGGTTTAAAGCAAGTTTAAGGAACTGATCAGAAAGAGGTGGTCTGCCCTAACTGCAATTTTTCTTGCCTTTGAACTTCTATAGCCATTTATCTTAAGAGCAATACCGAATGTTATTTTTCTTGCTCTTTTTCTCTGGGCTCCAGGAAGTCAGGGTAAAAAACAGAAGCCTTAAATGGCTTTTTTTTTTTTTTTAGTGTATCATGGAACTGCTGAGGTTTTCACTGATTCTCATTCAGTTCTGGATAAGTCCTATATATTTACAGTATTGTGTTTGGGACCTCAGACAGAGTGTGCAAAAAATTCCAAGACTTGAAACAAGGTATCCAAGTTCTTATGAGGGTAAGCAATCCCTTCCAAAGAACAGTT